CCACTTGCGAAGTATCAATCCAATTAATAAATTGATACTGATCCACAAAACCTGGAATCGCCAAATCCAACCACAACCAACTCTACTCAAAATTTGACAAGTCGCAATGAAAGAATAAATGAGCCACATCCTCTTGAGCATTTTGACAAACAGGGCAAAGAATGGAATCCAACTCTACACCTCTTTCCACCAGAAGCTTTCTAAGAGGTAATCTCTGCAGTAAAAGGCGCCAAAAAATATATTAACTTTTAAAGGCACATAAGAATTCCATCTAGTACCAATTCCTTCCACTGGAAGGGTAGCATCGTTAATCTGTCTCCTAACCGACTTAACCAAGAAACACCCACTGAGATCAAGATCCCAAGACCACTTATCTGGGGTAGCAGACAACACCACCGAGGACAAAATAGACAAAAGATTATCTAATTGCAGAGATTCAACTCCACCTCTAATTGGCCTATGCCAGGAGAAACTCCAGCCCGTAGAATACCAAAAATCACAAACTTTACCAACTTTGAGAAGAGAGAGGGTATACAATCTGTGAAACACATATTTGAACACGACTCCACCACACCAAGCATCCTCCTAGAATCTTGCAATAGACCCATCACCTAGGACAATAGACATAGCATTTTTAACAACCACATCCTGATCATGGAGTTGATTAATAGAGGCCACAATTTTCTCCCATACCCCACCTCTATAGGGTCGAGACCCACCTAATAAGGCCCCCGAATCTCCATAGAACCCCTTAATAACATTCATCCATATAGAACCTGTTTCATTAAAAAACCGCCACTTCCACTAATATAAGAGAGCATGATTGAAAGCATCCAAGCTACCAATATTAAGGCCACCTTTATCTCTAGAATCTAAGACCACATCCCATTTCACCAAATGAATACGCCTCTGACCTTCTTCCATCCCCCAAAAATATTTAGCTCTACAAGATTCTAACACATGACAAATAGTAGCAGGTAGTCTAAACAAAGAGAAGAAATAAATACCAAGGCTTCCCAAAACAGATTTGGTCAAAGTGAACCGACCACCAAAAGAAAGAAGCTTAACTTTCCAATTAGACAACTTCTTACAAAAAACGATCAATAACCACATCCCAACTACGCACTCGTGTCATAGATCCACCCACTGGAATCCCAAGATAAGAAAAAGGGACAGAAGCCGCAACACAACCTGTGAAAGAAGCTAGGGAAACAACTTCCAAATCAGTCACTCCAACCCCCATAAGGCTAGATTTAAAGAGATTAATCTTTAAAACTGACACCATAAAGAAACACCTGAGGATAATAATAAGATTCCTAACATTTCTCTCATCCCAATCACCCATAAACAAAGCATCATTCGTGTAAAAAATATGGGACAAAAACAACTTGGAATTCCCCACTCTCACCCCCCCCCCCCCCCCAAAAAAAAAAAAAAAAAAAAAAACCTGAAGCAACATGTTCCATAGCAACATGTAAGCCTTCCATAGCAATGATAAATAAGAAATGAGAGATAGGGTCTCCTTGCCTCAAACCTCTAAATAACTGGAATTCATCAATAAGGCTTCCCTTAAGTAAGATAGAGGATTTCGAGTTTTGAAATAACCCCCTAATCCATAAACGCCATCTGATACCAAAGCCCATAAACTGCATACTATGGTGCAGATAATCCCAGTTAACTGGATCATAAGCCTTCTCAAAATCAACTTTGAAAATGAGAAACTTATTCTTTATCTTCTTATACCAAGAGATCAATTCACTCACCATAAGCGGGCCATCAAGGATCTAACGACCCTTAAGAAAAGCAGATTGCTCCATACCGATAACACCAGGAAGAACATAAGCCAATTTTTTAGCTAATAACTTAACTTTAAATTGCATCGCGATAAGGCTAATAGGCCAAAAATCCTTAACCGGTAAGGGATTATCAACCTTCGGAATGAGAGTAATAAAAGAAGAGTTACACCCCATACGAATAATAGGTTTGAAATAAAATTCCTTAACAAAGCCAATGACAACAGACCCTAACACATCCCAAAATGTCTAAGGAATTTGAACAAAAACGCATCCGGACCCGGAGCACGGTCCCCACCACAATTCCACACAGCTTCTTTAATTTCCTCTAAAGAGAAAGGTTATTCTAAAAATGAAACCGCATCAACCTCGATAGAAGAAAACCAACTACTTCTATTAGACATTCGAATGTTATGAAAGCATTCGAATTTAGAAGAATAATAATTAAAAAAAATTCTTTTTTAACATAAATTGGATCTGACACCCATTCTCCGCCAACCGAAACCCCACGAACCAACAATTGCATTCTTTTATTTTTTTAACATACCATGAAAGAAAGTAGAATTCTTATCCCCTTTAACCGACCATTGTACTTTAGCCTTTTGAGCCAAATCAGCAACATCAACCTTTTGCAAATACCCAAGCTCCCCAAGAATACTCTTCCTTTCATTAACCAAATCAATTGAAGAAATCCCACCATCAATAGAACTATCAATATCAAGAAGTTGACGTCCACAAGTTCAAACATTAAAACACATATAAAAACAAGTTGTAGATCAATCCAAATATACTAAAATAACAATAAACATTTGTTTTATATCAATCCACATATATCAAAAAAGAGAATAAAATATAATACCGAAACAAATATAGTTTTAAATAAATACAAACGTAACAAAAAAGTTCATAGCATTTACCATATGTGTTTATTTAAATAAATCTAAATAAATGTGAAAAAGACCACCAAAGTTTATTATGCAAAATGGTTATTTTTCCATTGTTTTTATTCAATTTAACCGGTTCAATCGGTTGTTTGTGAAAAAGGAACACATTACTTTCCTGGTTTTCAGTCCAACTGGTTCAACCGCTCGGTTCAAACCGAATTTTAAAACATTGTCCAAGAGTATTGGATAGTGATAACATAGATACTGATAACATCTTCTCATGGTTATCTTTTTCCTTTTGTTTAAGCTATTTGTTTAACTTTCTTATTTAAACTCTTGTTCTTTTTCTTTTTTTATCAAGCTCTCAATAAAATCGAATTACTTCCCTAATACCATCAAAATTCTAGACGATATTAGAGCAGGTTTTAGAACTCTGATTCAAGATATTCTCCTTCATTGATCTTGAAGGATGGCAAATAGCCGTGAACCAAAAGACAAAGGAGATGCATGGGAAAGTTCCAGTACAACAATTGATCACAATTCCACCTACTATCTCCACCCTTCCGATTTCCCCAAACAAGTCCATGTTAACGAATTTCTCACAGACACCAATTATGTTGATTGGTCAGAAGATATGAAATTTTTTCTCTTTGCCAAGAACAAATTTGAGTTCATCAACGGGACCATCAAAAAACCTAAGAATGGATCTACGAGCTACATGTCATGGATGCGAGGTGATGCAACACTAAAAGGGTGGCAGATCACCGCCATGGAGACGAACATTCATAACAACGTGAAGTACGTAAGCACTGCAACCTAAATATGGTCGGATCTTCTCGTAAGCACTCCACATCAACGTATTTCACAAACCTACAATCACTATAGGATGAAACTTCATCTGTTCAGCCCTTTTCTCACAGTTCGTGTTAAAAGTTTCTCATGTGACATTGGAAAAAGGATTGATGAGTTCCAAGAAAAGGAATGATTGTAGCAGCTCCTCATTGGCCAAGATTCCGACTCCATTCTTATCAAAACACAAATTTTAGCAACCAAACGCTCTCCAAATTTGGGAACTGCTTATCACCTTACAGTAGAAGACGAAAGGCAGAGGTAAATCTCATGTGACAAGAGAACTCAACCCGAATCCACTGCGTTCAAGTTATTTCAAAGAAGAAATGGAAACCCTAATGTACATAAAGAAAGAAGTTTTTTAAAGAACGTTAAAGACAACATAGAAACAAGAGAGAATGGGAATTTCATATTTTGTGGGAGGAACGACCAAAAGAAGGAAGGTTTCTTCGAGCTAGTAGTATACCCATAATGGTGGCCCAGGAGAAAGGAGAAAGCAAAACTGAAGGGAACAACCTACACTGAACCTAGTTCTAGTCCCATACTAGAACTAACTAACGACCAATATCAATTGTTTGTGAAACATTTTTTTGGAAAAACGTTGATGAGGTAATGGGGCATGTTGCCAACATGCCAGGTAAGAGAGTAATAATGATGATTGGATTATTGACTCAGCTTGCAGCGGACACATAACTTATTTACCTAGCTTACTGGAGAACAAGAAAAAAAAAACTTTTTTTTTGAGTCCCCAATCATTATACCCAATGGAGAATCTATTCTTGTCCAAGGGAAAGGCAATTGTACTTTTCTAGGGGGAGTAAAATTGAATGGCGTTTTATGTGTTCCAAATTTCAAGTGCAATTTACTTACAGTTAGTTGCATAAGTAAAGATCTCCAATGTGTAGTAACGTCTTTCCTGGTTTTATGTGATGCAGGGGCTACAAACAATGATTTTTTTAGGTGTAGGTAGATGAAATGGTGGATTGTAGCGAATGGGGATTACTAATGAAAGGAAGGCTATGGTGACTATCGCAAACACTTGGCACAAAAGAGTGGGTCACGCCTCAAAGGAGAAGCTTTCTAGAATTGAGTTAGTTAAAAATATAGGAAAATGACATAAATGCCCTATGAATTTTCTAGGGTTGGTCTATTTAATCCTTAAACTATTTTCGTGAGTTTATGAAGGAACGAAGTAATTTTTGCCAAGTCGATTACATCCTTTTGGCCAAAGTGAAGGGGTCACCCGGTTACACTGACATTTGTTGACCAATTTTCTTACATTGACTTTGAATTTGCTTATGCGTCAATATTGTTGTTGTCTAAGTACAACCTCTTGAAGCATAGGACCACCTTATCCCTCCAAAAACCAAGCTCATAAACACATTATACCACCATTAAATCATCCTTACACCACCCCTACCAAACCCCGAGAACTCTAGCCAGACTCCACCCAGTAACCACCACTACTACCACCTCACATCAGTCGAATCCCACAGATGACAACTAACTTGACCCAGGTGCTTTGTATACCACCCCATTGAAATCCATTTAAACCGGAAACAACAACTACCTTTAACCACTGCTTCAACCACCAATACCATTGGCACCATCGACGGATCTTCACCCCGTCGCAGCCCCTCCTTATCTCACCCTCATAAACTACCATATCTGGATCCCACCACCTCTGTTTTACTGTCTTATTTGTCTGAAAGTTAAAGTTAATGTTAAGTTTTCATCAACTAATTCAAGTTGTTGGAGCTTAGTCATAATATAATCATCATCACCATCTCCTTCTGACGTTGTAGGGGCATAGTCGTAATCTACATCATCATCTTCCCCATCACCTTCTAACATGGTTGTTGGTGCATAGTCATAGTGATCATCATGACCAATTTTCCAATCTGCATAGCTCTTACCCAACCACCATATGATTGACTTGGTAACAGAAGAAATTTCCTTCATGACAAACTATCAATAAACTTCTGATTTTGAGTATGAAAGAAACTGAGAAGCCATGCATATTTATGGGAAAAAGAAGTAAAATGCTCTTGTTTTAGCATAAGTCTATTCACGAGAATAAGTAGTTATGAGTAAATAGTGTGCCTTACATAATTTGTTTTGTCTATATATATGACAAATTTTCTGAACACATGTAAGCATCGTACAAGTAGAACAACTGTTAATACTAATACTCAAGCACTTGAATGTCTATAAGGTGCATGGGTGGGTCACAAAAGAAATATGTTAGGATTTTATTTAATTGGATAATGAAAACTATAGCATCACAAATGGTTGCTTTATATGGAAAATTGACAAATCTTTTTCGAAAAAGATGATATCAAAGGGCGTTGCAGTCATTTTATGAGTTAATCCAAGAAGTTAAAGTGTGGAGTCATCAACAAAGGATGTGCTTAAATTAATATGGTTGAACAGGTCATCCAGCCACAAAGGTTTATCAAGTGACACATCATCGTGGTGCATAATTTGTACAACTAGTTTAGCCAAAATGCAATAATTGTGAAGTGTGTATTGTGGATGCAAGTTGTAACAAAGAGATAAATCACTTTCCAGCATCCTTGATGAACACAACAACTGACTATCTCAACTCCATCATTTCACCTATCCACCACCTTCACGGCTCCCTTAAACCACTACCTATAAACCCCAAGAACTTCCACCATCACCTTCATGGAAAACCACCACCAACACTATAGTCAAACCTCCAAATAGGAAACGACCACCTTATACCACCTGTTGTGACTAGAAACAAGGATCACTATGAGTTCTACCTCTGCCAAACCAACATCGGTAACCACTGTGACCTCCAGTTTAACCCAAAGTCACCACCACCAAAAAATCCACATGTTGCATCCGTATTTCTCACAAACTGAAACCAAAACCTCTACCTTCATTTTCTCACACCCAAGCATCACCAAACAACCACCACCCCTTCTATCGTGTTTCACAGAACCCAAACCATAATCCACCGGCTTGGTTTTGAGAAAAAGAGAAGAAGAAAGAAGGAAATATTTGTCTGCATGTGTGAGATCTCTTTCGGATAAGAGAAAAGGAAGAAAATGTTGATTGATTTTTGTTGGCTACATAAGAGAGAAAGATAGGAAGATGGTAGTGCATAGTTCTTGTTACGCCCCAAGCTGAGGCAACAGATTACACCGGGTTGTACGACTTAGTTCATGGATCACAAGCAAATTGAATATATACATCACAAGTTACAACAATAACAACATAGCAGTTACATTCCAGTTTAATGTTTGAATACATGGTTCATACATATAATAGTAATGAGTTCATAAATTCACCTTAACAACTAGGCTAATATAACAAAAAAAACTAGATAAGACTAGATTGCCCAAAATCCATGAACGGATCTTCTATTAAAGGCTAGTTCAATGATTTTCTGAGAATACATGTAATTTGAGGGTCAACACAAAGGTTGGTGAGAGTTACAGGTCTTCTGCTAACTGCAATAATGATACTATAAAAGTCTAAAATTACTCCTTTTGTCGTTAAAACCATGTTTGATAAAGGGCTAAATCATAAGTATATCTATACTTTAAATATTTGTTAAAGAGATAAACCATAATTAAATCCATACTTCAAATGTTTGATAAAGCGATAAACCATAAGGAAACCCATACTTTGAAATCTTGATAAACAGATAATCCATAAGTAACTACATACTTAAATTGCTTGATAAAGAGTTAAACCATATGTAAATTCATACTTAAATGCTAAATAGAGAGTCAAACCATAAGTAAATCCATACTTAAAATGCTTGATAAAGAGTTAAACCATAAGTAAATTCATAATTAAAATGCTTGATAAAGAGTTAAACCATAAGTACATCCATACTTCAAATGCTTGATAAAGAGTTAAACCATAAGTAAATCCATACTTCAAATGCTTGATAAAGAGTTAAACCATAAGTAAATCCGTACTTAAAATGTTTGATAAAGAGTTAAAACATAAGTAAATCCGTACTTAAAATGTTTGATAAAGAGTTAAACCATAAGTAAATCCATACTTAAAATGCTTGGTAAATAGAGAAACTATATCTGTGGTTTCTAGTTAAAGAGTCCGATTAATGCCTATAGTGAGTTTTATAACCGAGCTATGTGACTTGTTATAACCCCTTACGATGCTTCATTGGACATCTTGGTTAAACTAAAGATAATTATCACCCGCTTTGATTGTTCTGTCAAGGTTGTAGCTAGCAACCGCAAGTGGGGGTGTCAATCCATATAGATCTATACATACTTATTTCACTTTGGGGATTAACGGTTATAGTCAAATGGGAATACTAAGTGGTTAACTTAGGTAATGAATATTGTCTCGCTATAAAAGTCATTAACTATGTTATACGATAAAGTTTCACTATAAAAGCCGAGTGATAAATCCGTAAAAATGGATGTCACTCGCTTAAATAGATAATATGTTTCTTCACATGCACGAATGATTCCCAAGCTATAATTGTTATAATTCGTATGAATATAATATATATATATATATATATATATATATATATATATATATGTTTGTACATGCTCAATATAAGTGAAAATAAAATATTCACAAGGATAATAATATTTCTAAATACATGCATATCATAGGGAAATCGATTTATAATATATTATTTTGACAATAACAAATATTAAAATTAGGTATATGAATTATAGGCGTATTTTATAAACGATATATAGGTTTCACATGTTAATAAACATATTTCGTAACCGGTAAATATATATTTCACATGTATTCTCCCCAAAAATAATAAAATAATAAAAAGGGGTCATAAAACTCACCATTGAAGTGTGAACTAGGCTCAAGGGTGAAACTTGTTGTGAAAGCCATTTCGTGACATTTTGTGCCCTTAAAACGATTCATCGGGTCTATTTATATTAACTAATAAACTAAAAGGGTAGTTTTGGTATTAATTATTAAGTATAGGGTGTCCTTTATTAAAATAAATAAAGTCTAGGGGTTGATGTTGCCAAAATCAAACTGATCTTGCAAACAGTTCTCAAACCAGGGGTATAATAGGTACATTTTAACCTAATTTAAGGATCCAGGACTTGGTTTGCTGGATTTTTCGTGTGGAGGGGCCATTCTTGGGCATGTTAAAGCCAGTTAGACTTGATGTGATAACTAAATCTCCAGGAGGGTCCATTTTCGTACAAATCAACAACTTGAGGGTTATATTCAATTAAAACATAAGGATATTTGATGTTACGTCATCTTCCTGCATTCAACGCGTATTGCAGATCGAGGCATGACACAAGACCTATTTGCAGGTTCTTTTGGCTTCGATTCCGATCGGGAGGGGAATATCAACTCAAGGATTAAAAGAAACGTGAGTGATGGTCTTACCAACATCAGTAGGAATGGACGATGGTGGGGCTGAAACTGCACCGGTGGTAGAAGGCGATGTGCAGCAGGATGCTGCTTTGGCGGTCTCTTGCTGCATCGTCCTTGATTCTGCTCACCGGAAACAACAAGGGATAAGAGGGAAGGGTAAGGGGGCTAGTGGTGTTTGGAAATAGCAGCAAGGAAATAGAGTGGTGGTGGGTTGCATTGCGGTGGCAGTGGAGGTTTATGGTGGAGTTTGGTGGTTGAAGGGAGGCTAGTAGGTGGTGCGGTGGTTACCTACAAATCATCGGAGGTGGCAGGCCTTCGTGATCGTCGGAATATAACGGCGACAGCAACCAAAAACAATATGGCAGCGACAGTGATGGGTTGTGAAGTGGGTAGCAGCAGCTTCCTCCTTTTGGTTAAGTTTTCACGGCATAATAATGGACAAAGGGTGGTGATGGAGCTGTGCGGGTGGTCAAGCAGTGGCAGTCAGTAACTTCGATTGTCTCGGTGGTTCCTCCTTTCCTGGTGGTGATTTATGGTGATCAAGTCACCGGTGGTGGTTCTTAAGAGAGGCAGTGACGACTCTTGATGGTTCTGGGTGGCAGCTCCCAAAACCGGTGGAAGGCAGTAACTTCGGTTACATTTTCACGGCACAACAATGGACGAAGGGTGGTGATGGAGCTGTAAGGGTGGTCAAGCGCTGGCAGTCAGTAACTTCGACTATCTCGGTGGTTCCTCCTTTCTAGGTGGTGGTTTATGGTGATTATGTCATCGATGGTGGTTCGTAAGAGAGGCAGTGACGACTCTTGATGGTTATGGGTGGTAGCTCCCAAAACCAGTGGAAGGCAACAACAGGTCGAGGGTTGAAGGTGATGGGTTTTGAGCATAATAACATTCTTATGTGATCATCCAACCCTAATTGTTTTTTATCTAAGTTTTTCTCTATTTATACATGCAAATAGAAATTCAAAAGCAACAACCCTAATACTAGCATACAATTTTTGAGATCTATATGAAAACTAGGGTTAGAATGTTACCTTACTTGCTATCTAGTAATAAAAAAAATCCACGGATGTTCTTGACTCTTGAAAGCTCTAGTACCTCAATTGTTGCACCTCTAATGGAGTCACAAACACCAACATCAAAGGATGAGATTAAAGAGGTGGTAAAGCACTATGAAAATCGGCTAGGGTTTATATAGCTGAGGCTGCTAGGGTTTTTCAGGTGGAAACTCTAATTTCCTTGCTTAGGCCTTAAGCAGTCCATGGAACTCCTAACTATAAGCCTTGAACGAAATACTATAGGGTCTTATATAGATTTCGTCCACTCCCTTCTAAAGGAGTCCATCAGCCCAACTCTGCAACTATCATTGATTTGCAAAACCAATCCCCGTACTTTTAATCAGTTCCTTTAATCCCAAAATGAATTCCAAATTAACTTCTGATTAATACTAATTAAATAATATGATTTCTAATTAACACATTATTCTTATAATATATTAATAAATCATTTATTAATCTCTTTCTCCAAAAGTCACCCTGTCAAGTTGTTATGGTGAAGGCAACTCAAAAGGACCATGCTACTATCAA